AAAGGGAGGGATGAAAGGGCTCACAGCCAGCTTGGCATTATAAACAACACACAAACTGATTTTAAACCAGAATGGCAGTTTGTTATTCTGCAGTGGAAAATAACTTTGCATGGAAATTGTGACCAGCTATATGGACCTTTCCAGTAAAGAAAGATCACCTCAGAAATTAAATTACAGATGAGAAATTTGCTCAGTAAAAGTAGAACCAGAGTGAAGGGTTTTCTCTTTCAGGCAATTCTGGATGAATCACTTTTCTACTCTGGCAATATTGCTGTCTAAAGCAGTGCTCTGCAACCTTTTTCACACACAGCTCCATCAGATTCTATTTCACTCTGTCTTTCCAGTTCCCTTAAGGGCCAAGGGATCAATATATGTACAAACACAGTGTTCCCCTTATAAGAACCCAAGAGTCTAATTTCTCTGAAACCTCCAAACCAGAAATTGTTATGCACAAACAGGGGAATGCATCTGATTTTATGAAACGCACTCTGTGAATTGTTTTCCAATTACATTTCCTTCTTTACTCTGCTGGAAAGCTTAGACCCAATCTTTGGCTCATATGTAACAAAGTTCCGGAGATTTTAAGGCATGTACTACCTCTTTATTTCTAAGTACTTAATTATTTAAAGTAATTAAATACTTAATTATTTAGATAATTTTTTGTACTATTTCTCTCCTCCACTTTCCATATTCATTTATTTTTATATTTTTAGTTTATGCATATTTATAAATTACCACAGAATCATTTTGGAAATAGTTTGTGCATTTGTGTGTTTGTTGCTAGCTAGCTGGCCAGATAGACAGATACATACAACCATACATTTATTTCTTCAATAACACTGCAAAATCCTATTTAAACTGAGGTGCTTCTGGGTACTTAAAATATTGTGGACACTTAAAAACACTAACAATCATAGAGGCTACCTATTTCTATTTTAGATGTTTTCTCCCTTTCCTGATTTTTGTCTCATTAATCTCTTACCCTTGATCAATTTAATCTTTGGGTCCATAGTCCTCTAGCTCTTTTCTATATCTCCCTTCTCTGGAACCTTTAAATTGAGATATGTAAGTGATTTGATTTAGCTATTCCTAATGTAACACTTGAGAGTTTGGATAACACATAGGTGAAAGGTCATTACCTAGTATTTTGGTAAAAAATTGCATATTCCCCTAGTCCTTGCAGAAACATTATGGTGTAGTAGAAAATTCATGGGGTTTGTATTCAAAAAACTTGTCTCTATTCTCATATGATCTTAGGCAAATCTTCTAAACTCTCTGATTCAGTTTCTTCCATTTTCAACATAGATCATCATGTCTCTGCCATTCAGTCTCACAGGGTTGTGAGAATAAATGTGGTTATTGTCCACGTGAAAATACTTAAAAAGTATTCTACTATTCTTGAAATGGTAGTTATTTATTTATTTATTTTCTTAGAGAATTATTTTTGGTTGTAGGGAAGCAGAGTATATTATTAGTGATTAAAAACTGTTGCCTAGCATATTTTCTGCAGAGAAGTATACAATTTTTGTTTGATATTTCCAATGTGTTGGGGGCAAATTGCTTTTTTTCTCTACATAGTGCCATGTTTAACAATCCATGCTTTTACATTTCTTGCTCACAATAATCTTGTCAGCAGTTGGCTTATTTACAATTTTAATGTCTGTTCAGATGATCTCAGAATATTTCCTTCATATTGAAATTTGTTATGGCATATGAGCAGTAGTGAAGAATGCATTGCTTTTCTTAACAGCTGATTACAATAGCTACTTCTAGTAGCTGTCTCTCAGAGTCTCTCAGAAGGGGGCATTGTTTTCCATGGAAAGAGACTGACTCTTTCCATGAAAGAGTCCTGCCTCAGGAAATCTGAGTATAAATATCTCAGAGAAAAATATAAATCTAGACGTAGAGGAGGATTGGGAATGCTTTTTATTTATCCATTCTTCTTAACCTATGGGGAAATTGAGGCGTGAGAGACTTACGAGACTGCTGCACAGAAAGCCATCTCTTTCTAGAGCAAGGAGAATAACAGTAAGCACTTGTGTAGCATTCACTACAAGTCAGGCACCATTACACATTCATTACATGTATCGCCTCATTTAATACTTACAGAACCGTATCAGGTAGTACGGTGGCCAGTCTCCATAATGACCCCTATGTCCTGTGCAGTGCCTCATGTGTCTGATAGAGCTGACCTGTGTAGCCAGTAAGATGTCGTGGGAATGATGGTGTGCGATTTCTTAGGCTTGGCCATTAAAAAAAAATACCATGCCTTCATCTTGTTTGTTGGAAGCTCTGTAGGCAGCTAGCAACTATGTCTTGAGGATTTTCAAGCAGTTTTAGAGAGGCCCACATAGCGGTGAACTGAGGCTTCTTGACAACAACCAACCCCATGTGAATGAACCGTCTTTAACGTGGACCCTTCTGCCTTAGCTATGCATTCAGATGACTGCAACCCTGGTTTCTATGTTGACTGCAATTTCTTTCCTCTTCTTCTTCTTCTTTTTTTTTAATTTTGAAAATTTACGGAACTAATTGGTTTTCCATTTGATAGTTTGTACATATTTTGTTTTGTGACATTCATTGCAGTCCTCACAATATAACAGCACTCTTCCTGCTACCTCCCTGTGCTTACCATTTCCCTTCCTCTTCCTTTTCTACTTCTGTGTTCTGAGCTTCATCCCCGGACAAATATTGCCATTTTGATCTCATTTGCTTGATTGTTCTAAGGAGTGAGTACCTCTTGGTGTTATTGTTTACCTTATAAGCCTGTGTCTGTCCTTTGGCTGATGGGGTGAGTTCAGTTTCAGGCTTGATTTCATGAGAGACCCCATGGCAGAATCATCCAGGTAAGCCACTGCTGGATTCCTGAGCCATAGCAACTGAGAGATAATAAATGCTTGTTGTTGTTTTAACCTCTGTGCTTTGGGGAGTTTGTTATGTAGTGATAAATAAAAGATCCAGATTTTGGTACTTGGATATAGGGTGCTACCATAAGAAGTACTTTAAAGTATAGAGTGGCTTTAGATCTGGACATCAGATAGATACTGGAGGTACCTTAAGAAGAATTTAGTGAAAACTAAAGTACCGTGAAAATATTTTTAGAGGAGAGCGGGTGGCCTTTAAGAAAGCTTCTGCTGAGCGATTGTAACTGAGGCAAATGCTACTGGAAACTGTTCCACAGAATAGATAATTCATGCAGTTTAGTATTTTATTCCTTATTGTACTCAATATAGATGAATTCAAAGTTATGGGATAACTACAGGTATGCAGAGTTTTTTCTGGTGGTTGTTTAATCTACTTTTTACCAGTCATTTGTTGAGCATAAATCACTTTTCACTATATTATGGAAAGGCACTCACGTCTGGCAAGAAGATACTGTCCCTTTGACAAGTACATGAGAATTGGTCATACAGAACCAGGCCTAGTGTCTTTTGCAGTTGATAGGTACATGGCGGATAGTGAAGAGTATGATTGCTTATGATGTGGTCGAGTAACGAGAATGTAACTCTATCTTTTAGAGGTTTAGAACTCTGTGGAAGAGTATTGGCGAACACTTCAAATCTTACATAGCAAAGGAATTCCATATAGAATAATAGTAGAAGAGGTAGTTTAGCATAGAGAAACCAGACTTTCTGGGGCTGATTTCCACTTTTGTTAGGTCTTAGCTATGTGACTTTGCATCTGATTTCTGATCTGTAAAATGGGGAATAATAATAGTTACAGCCTCATAGACAGGAAGAAGATAAAATGAGTAAATATATATAGATATATAACACTTAGAATACTGTCTGGCTCATATTAAATACTATTTATTTTATTATTACAGAAAACAGAAGTTGTTATAGACACTTTCGGCTAACTCTTGGAAGATAAAATAACAATTTTTTATAGCTAGCAACAAAATGCAAAGTAAGCTAATCTCATCTTTGATTTTCATAACCATCACTGTACATTAAAGTCTTTAATTTCACACTTTTTAAACTTGGCATAACCAAGTCAGTACAACTGAAAAATAATGTCAGCCAACCAACCAAAAACAATGTAGAGTAACTGGTATGTATTGTTGATTTCTTTTAATGTAAAATGTTTTCTTGAAGATTTCATATGTAATTAGAGTAACTTGCAACTTTTGCAAGTATGATGACAGTGCTTTAAGAATTAGCATTGCTTTTTGAATTATTTTTGTTTCAGTCATTTCCACTGATATTTTAATGTTTTTGAGCATTTGTAAAATGTCGAATCATGCTATACCATTTATATTTGCTTAAAAATTACTTTTCCTTTCCTATGAAAGAAGTTTAATATTAAAATTCCTTAACAATATTTTAAACTAAATAAAGAAGTAACCTTGCACTGTGAATAATTGACTAAGGAGCTCTGGAAAACTTAGTGGAGTTTAAGATAAATTTGAAAATTTACTATTTTTTTTTTCTCGACCATATTTCTGGGAACTCTGGTAGCATAGTGCCTAAGGCACTTGACGGCTAACCAGAGGGCTGGCGGTTCAAACCCACCAGCCACTCCTTGGAAGGAAGGTTGGGCAATCCTACTTCTGTAGGGATACTGCCTCAGAAACCCAAGGAGGGGTTGCTATGAGTCAGGGCCGACTTGACGGCACATAACAACAGCCATATTTCTTATTCCTTTCTGGTTTATGTTATGATACTATGCATATTTTTTAAGCCAAATAAAGTCCTTCTTAGAATAAAGTTAGAAATCACTAGATAGTAAACAGGCAGACAGATAGAAGATATTTGGGTTGTACAGAAAAATAATTTTAAAAAATAATAATTAAAAGCATTTTGTTTTTAAGCATCTCTTGGATTTATAGGCTGTATGGGAAGAAATTTTTTTTTTTTTTTAAAAAGCTTACGTTACATGATGTACCAACTTCTTGGTGAGATCTGTTGGATTCAATATTGCATTTTAAGGTCAAATCAATTTTAAGTATGTTTTTTTTTTTCATGTTTTTTGAGATTATAACTTGACAAGATATTTAGAAGTCACAATAACTGAAACACCTGAAGATGATTATGGATATGAAGAGGTAATTTGTTCATTTTTAGTATTTTTTTCTGTAAGTTATTGGCAGATATACTTGTGAAATGTTCATTTGTATGAACATTTTTTTTCCCCTTAGAGATAGTAGATTTTCAACCAAATTTAGCTGGTAACAGATGGTTAAGAATGAGATGTGATAAGTTGATTTAAACTTTTAAATTGATGAATGAATCTGATCCTTTGGTTTTCCTATTATTTATCCTTCTGAGTTAGCTCCTGATGGCTGGCTTTATGGAGCCATGCTCTACACTCCTCTCTGTCCAGCAGGCATGCCCTCTCATCTAGTTTGCTCTGAGCAGGGTTTTGCAGACTCTCCCTACTCAACTGGAGCTCAGGTCCTGTGCTGCCTTCCCTCCTCCTGGACTGCTGGCTGATGTGGTTCCTGTCTTAAAGTTCTCCAAGAATTCGTTGTTCACATAAGACCTACGCCTTATTTCTGAGCCTTCAGGGATAAAGTCACTCCTAGATGACAAAACTTGTGAAGGAGAGCAGTTTGTGGGTTGGGTGAGGAAGA